CATATATATATATATATTATGGCTTTCCTTTGCTTTGCGGGTACAAGGGGAGTGACATATTGAGGACCACGCTAGTTTCCCCCTGTTGGGGATGGGGACAGATCCGTTGCCGACCGCCCGTGTTGGGATCAGACGGTCATCAGCAAGACCGAGAAACAACTTCTATCAAATCAGCACAATCTCGGTTCTGCCATTCCGGTTGACAGAATGTCGAGGACCTCCAGTGATGCTTTTATCCTGTTATGTGAGTTTTCCGGCCGAAAGGTTGCCCTCGCAAGACTGCGGTCGTCTCCCGTACGAATTTTAAGAAAAGAAACGTGGTTGCTCCCTACTTGGACTACTTCAGAAGCTTGGGCCTTGAAGGTTTTTGGAGATACGCTCAGAGCAGCTGCCTGGTACACCCCAGTGGCCTAAAACCGATACAAACCACTCAAGTACCTTGACTCCCGTAGGGTGCCTGGAGAGGAGCCAAGCCAAAGAAGGACGTGCCTTGATAATTTTGGCCTGCGCACAGCTTATCAACCCCTCAATTTGGAGGTTTGCGGGTCTCTTGGGGCTGCTAGCCACTTACTGTAAGTAGCCTGTCTCGGGTCAGCCACTTTTATGTTTAACCCGTAAGCCTATGGGGGCGTATGGGTCTTGGGGGGGGGGGGGGGCGGTGGATACGACCTCTATCCCTTTCAGTGGGTTTATTGGTTTGGGGGAGCTCAAAGGTGGGTAGGGTCCCCGGAGAGGGTGCCAACCGTGTGCCAACCATTTGTGCTTTGCTTCTTACCCGCTATACTGGAGTTCCGTTTTTGCGGGGGGCGGGGCTGTCCCTTTCTGTTTAGGGTTTCCCTAGTTTTGCCGGTACTCAGCATGAGGGAATGACCCCTCTCAACCATCCCCTATGTTCATTCCCCCACCAGCAAGCAGTTTTGGGGCTACCCTTTTCTGGTTTGGGGTTCCTGCGGTTGCTGACCCCTACGAACCACAAGCAGTTTTGGGGTTCGTTGGTTGATTGCTTCTTCCCCCACCAGCGCAAGCAGTTTTGGGGTTGAGGAATGCCCCCTATGAGCCGCATTTCGTCCGTGTATGAACCATCCCCTATGTTCATTGGTGGATTCCTTCCCCTCTTCGAACCCTTCCAGGACGCCCAGAGCTCCTGGGGCGCCTCCATCCAGCACGCCGCGGACTCCGTGACCAGCGGCGTGCAGGGAGCCGCCTCCGCGGTGGCGGACGCGGCCACCGGCGCCGTGGGCTCGGCCACCGAGGCGGTGCAGAAGGCGGGAGACTGGGCGGCTGGGGGCTGGGGAGCTGGGGGGGGCGGCTCGTTGTCGTGGGTGTGCTTTTTAGGTGAGTGTGGTCAAAAAATAGAAGGCACTGGTTCAGATGGGTTTTGTGGCCGTCTATTGTTCCAAAAAACTCGTCGTCGTGTGTTTTTTGGGGTTAAAATCACCCCTCGTGCGGTTTTTGGTTGAATCCAAAAGGACACCGGCCAGTTTGAGTGTCACCCGAGATGGGTTTCTTGGAGGGGAAATTGCTTTACCCCCCAGCTGGCGCAAATGGACGTATTTATTCGGGGGTGTCAGGTCCGGGAGGTAACCTGGCAGATGAAATAGAGCTGTCCTCACCCCTGTGTATCAAAGGGTTTCTGAATCCATCAGCATTGCCTTGTTGAGTTTGCGCACCGAACTGGTTGTGGATTTTTGGATATTCTTGGCCGAGGCGCAAGAGTTTCAGCGTGTTCTGGTCAGACTCCAGAGGTCGGTTTGCTTGAGAACTAAGCTGCTGAGTTCCTGAATGATTTGTTTCGCTAGTTGGCATCTTCTAATTAGGTTGGCGTGTGCTGCATTATTATTTGATGAGGGTTGGTTGTTGGTGCATTAGTAGCTTAGTGAGTGAGTGTTGCAGTGAGAGAGTTAGCTAGCTTGTTCACTAGTGGTCAGTTCTGTGGTGTTCTGTGTTTCTTTCGCTTGCTTGCTTGCTTGCTTTCTTGCTTGCTTTCTTACTTACTCACTTGCTGACTAGCCAACTTACTTTCTAGCTTGCTCGATTGCAGGCTTGCTCGCCCCCGTTTTTGGCTTGCTTGCTAGGTTGCTCGCTTGCTAGTTTGTTTGTTTGCTCGTTTGCTTGCTTGCTTGTTTGCTCGCTCGCTCGCTTGCTGGCTCTGCTTTCTTTGCTTTCTCTGCTTCCTCTGCTTCCTCTGCTTCCTCTGCTTCCTTTGCTTCCTTTGCTTCCTTTGCTTGCGTGCCTGCCTGCCTTCCTGCTTGCTTGCCTGCTTGCTTGCTTAATCCCCGAACTGCAGATTTTGGGCTCACGGGCCTCTGCTCAGCTTCTGGGTCCCTCAAATGTGGTTGCACGTGGAAAGACCACTTCAAGCGTTTTTTTTTGGAATGGAACGCCCCTTTAAACTTTGAACCCCCCGGTTTAAAGGGCTGTTTTCCACTTCACGGCCACATCTAGGGGCGCTTTGAGGAGGTTTCTACGGATTGGGAGCCCCAGGTGGTGGCCACCGTGGGGCTGAACGGCACCGCCTGCTCCGCGTACCCCGCCTGCGTGTCGGTGGGGATCACGGAGGGGGACTGCTGCCCCAACACCGACAAGGCGGGGGAGTCGTTGGGAATGGGTTTGTCTCACAGGAAAAACGACCCACATGGGTATGGGTCAAGATTAAACCACCAGGAATTGGACCGCAGGTTTGAATGTCCGTGTTTCCATTTACCAGGGTTCCATTTTGGGTACCTATTTTTGACCCACAGCCACATGGGGGTCAATTTCCCGATTTCCCTGAGCTGGCGCAGTTCTTGGGCACCAACTCAAAATGATGCCAGTGATGGGAACCCAGTTGAAGCAGAATCCCTGGTTGATTTTGATTGGGGTGTGTTAGAGTGGCCCGGAATAATCCGCCAGGTGAAATAATCCGCGGCCGACAATCGCCTGAGTGCCAGCGGTGCCGTTTTGTGTGTGTGTTTTTGGAAGGGTTTTCCCTTTAATGTCAACTATCTGCAAAGGGTGCAATATTGTTTTTTTGCGGAACAGTTTTTGGAGCTGATTTTTTTGAGGCTCTGGACAAGTTGTGACGCCTCCCCCATGAAGGTCCTTTTCTGGAGAAGATGCCTGTATTTCCAGTTTGGGAAGGAACATAATCCGCTTGCATGGATGCACATTTGGTTTCAATCAATAAAGGTTCAGGTACCCCTCATAGCAGCTGAAGGGGTCGGAAACGGGAAAACAAGAACCCTCACAAGGGACCTGAATGGAGGCGGTTTGATGCAGTCCAACCCTTTGTGTGAACAAGGTGGTTCCAGGTGACCCGCCTGAGGCTTCGGCTTAGACTTCCTGTATTCAAGCGGAGGACATCCTTTTCATGTTCACTTGCTTGAATCGACTGATCTTACTTGGGAGCTTTCTGAAGGTGAAAATCTCAGAGATTGACTGCTTGGGTTGGCGGGGTCATCAAATGAGCAACCGGCAATTCTGCCGCTCCCTGGGAGTGTCCCTTCGAATTTCGCCCGGACTGGTGCGAACACCCAGCCGGGGGTTCAACCCGATGGAGAAGGCCCATACAAATTGACCATCTTGCCGGGCAACTCACAACCGCAGGTCTGTCGGTGCGCAACAAACATTGCTTCCGCTCTCGTGGGATTCGGTCCGTTTCTGTCTTGTAAGGCAAATCCATTCATGACAGTTTGTTCCTGTTTTGGTTTCCGCATGTTCTTGGTGTTTCTTTAACTGGTGCTTTTGCTCATGTGTGCCATGGTCCTTTACTTAGGGTTAACAGGGATCGTCATCCTTCCTATGAAGGGAAGCATGACCATAGGCCATACAAGGAGTTTCACCACGTTTCCGGGTTTTTGCCAAGCGCCAGGTCAGCCTCGGCTGCTGCGCGGGCTTCCCCAAGATGGTCGAGGAGGTGGGCGGAGTCGACCTTTTCTCATCTGTACCTCTCCCCAGTTGCAGTGAAACCCTTTTCCGCTTATTTGGTGGATTTGTTTGAATCCTTAAAAAAGCAAAAAAAACATCAGTGTTAATTGATATTTTCCGTTATGTCGCGCGGCGCGCCCTACGTGCTTGTCCTTGCAGCTGTGAGCTTCAACCTTCGGAAAGGCCCATGTTTTGTTTGCGTTTGTTTCCTTTTGGCGGTTCGTTGCTTCTTTGGCCTAACAAGGACCTACCTTGTTGGGGGGGGGGGGTTGTCATGTTCAGGACTCAGGACACACATGGGACGCTGTTTTATGCACTCGAACCGATGCGAATCTCGGATGACTGGACCCCTGGGCCATCGACATCGCCATCCCGTCAAGTCAGGTGAAGATCGCCGCGGGCTCCGAGTGCACGTTGTTCCCCCAGTGCATGTCCCTGAACATCACCGGCGCCTGCTGCCCCACCCCGGAGGGCGTGCGCCTGGGCTGCTGCGGCCCGGAGATCTGAGCCGCTCGGCCAAAACGAGAAACCGAGGGGCGCCCCGTGGGTTTGTGTCGGTGTCTCAGGGAGGCCCAGGGTTTTGGACAAAGCAACAGCAATGGGTTTTGGGTTCTCGTTGAAGGCAGCTTCTTGGCTTTCCCTTTGGTGTTTTACTTGAAACTGATGTTAACTTTGCATCAATCCAGAAACTCAGGGCGGGTTCCCTGAGAGTTGACAAGCATCACCTTTTGGGCCAATTTGCAACGATCCAAGTTGATCAGCTTCCCGACGGGGGAACCCTCCGCTCCAAGCAGGTGTTCAACTTTTCTTTGGATTTCCTCGTCGAGCTATCCAAACACGCGGGCCGCATTTTGAGCCAGACAGTGAGCTTCGGTGCAAATTTCCAGTAGACTTTTGGGCCAATTCAATTTGGACATATGGGCAATGGCCCGCCCTCTTCCAGCTACAATGTTTTCTCTTTCGCTGCTTTCGATCACCTTTGGAAAGGCCAATTTATATCGCGTCTCGTTTGGTGGGGTGCTGTTTTTTTTTTTTCTTTGAAAGAAGGAGCAGATCCCTGCAGGAAGAGGTGGTCGGTTATTCCCAGCTGGGGCTCGGTCAGTTATGAAAAATTACGGGCACTCTCATTTCCATTTGACCGTGCCTCTCATCTGAGCGAGTGGCAAGTTGTAACCAGCGGCCGCCCCTCGCCCCTCTTCTTCTTCTTCTTTTGCGGGGGAGGGAACCCTTTTTGGTGAACCCTTGGTTTTTTGTTGGACCCATGAGGTAGGCCATGGCTTTCTGTTTTGGCATGTTTCCCTTCAAGGAAGTGTCCTTTTTGATCAGCGAAACAAAAGAAATGTGGCCCTTTCTTCCCATCGCCGGCAGGTAAGGAGAGCGCTTTATTTTAAGCCGATAGATCCTGACCAGCGGGCGGGTGGGTCCGCAATGTCGGCCCCCCGCTCCAAATTAATCAGGAGTTTCAAGCTGCAACGATTCAGGGTCTGATGGAGTCTCTGTGTGTGTGTGTGTGTTGTGTATGTCCGATCTTGACGGATCCTGGAATCGGCCATGTGGACCCTGAACAAGCTTCCTTTTACAATGCTGATGACTTCACAGATCCGAGCAAAAGCTTCGCTGCTTGTTGCTGCTGTTCTCATCGGGTCTTCCGCCGCCACTTCACTCCCAACTATCATCATTCTCATAGCCGATCGCCAATGGCCCACCCATGGCTTTAATTCCATTTGAACGTAACCAGTAACAAACATCTTGACCATCGCCATCATGACTACACAACCACCATGTCGGGCGTGCTAGGGGCAAGGCAGGAAGTTTCAGGTTCAAAAGCAGCGGCCCACTGTTCGCTTGTTCTGCAAAAAAAACCTGGATGGCACGCGAATCGCAAGTTTGCGCCCGTTTGACTTCCCCTTCTTTGGGCTACATTTGGTCATGGCCAAGCAACAAACCTCTTATTTGCCGTCCTGATGGCAAGGTCTCATACACAAACTACCGTTAGGAAAAGAGGGTTCCTCGGGAAAAGAGGGTTCCTCGCCAAACTACAATGTCAGTTCGGGGACACCTGCTGAATACACCCCCGCTCATGCGTTGGTCGCATTTTGGAGCGCACACGCCGAAAGAGTTGCGCCAGTGGTTCCAAACTCCTCGCTTTCGTCGGCATCTCGGCAGTCGTACTTCTCCGCACCGCAGCCATTCTCATTGCACCGGACCCGCACTGCAGGGGATCGTCAAGTGTAGCAAGGGCATGTTGGGTCCAAGATCGTGTCGAGAATCAACAATTCTCCATGGGCCTTTCGTGGGAATACGGATGACACTCATCATAGGCAGTGTGCACAGATTGTGTGTGTAAAAGCAAACGTTTTAGTTTTCAGCATGTCATGTTGCGGTATTCGGTTTGGTGGTCCTTTGACTTTACAAAGAAAAACAAAGCAACAGAAAGGTGCTGCCCATCACCACGGGTTGGCAACATGTGGAGAAACAGCCAGGCTTCAATTCCCTTAAATGGGGATCCATGGGAGGTGAGGAAGCAAGTGCAACACACAAGCCTCATGTTGTTGTTTTTTTCGGCACCAGGTCGAACTGCATGAGGGAACCCAAGAGGTTGTGACCGATGGTTGCTGTTGAAGCTCGTTGCCGGAAGCCTCGCCCGGTGCCAAATCCAAGCTCCATGGGCGGATCGGCCCGTCGGCGCCCGTCCTTCGGAGCGGTGGAGTGGTGCTCCACGGGGACGTCTCAGGCGAGTGAGTGAGCAGTTCGGTTATGGTAAGTTTTAATCAATTTTAAGGGTTTTTTTTTGGGGGGGGCTTGGGGGGGTTCGAGGGGTTTCGGGGGGCGCAAAGCGTGGCAAAAAGCCAGAGGCTGTTTTTGCCGATCGTTTCAGGGGCGAGTATAGTTCAGGGAGGTTAACTCTCTCCATCCACATGGCTGACAGGTGGGTGCAGATCCGCTGACGCAGACGCAGGCGCGGCGCGAACCTGGGGCTGTTTTTTTTTGGGCTGAACATGGGGCAGCTGCCAATTTGATTCCCCAGCCGCAATCAGCGAAGAGTTGTGGGTATGCCATGTTTGGCGTTTCCTTCTGGGAAAGGACCTGAGCGCTGCGCTGTTTCAATCAAAATCCCAAGAAGCGTCCCCAGGATTGGCCAAAAATTGTTCCAAAGCCACCTCCCCTGAACAAAGGAGTGGAGCTGTCGCAGTTCGGCAAGAAAAGGGGCCAGGCTTCCATTTTGTTTGATCACCCCCCTTTGCTGTATCTGTACGTTTTTGCGTGTGGGAGTGTGTTTTTTTTTGTTTACTTGTTTGCTTGCTTGCTTGTTTGCTTGCTTGTTTGCTTGCTTGTTTGCTTGCTTGTTTGTTTGTTTGCTTGATTGTTTGTTTGTTGTTTTGTGTGAGAAAAAAAGCCGGTAATGTCCATGACTCAGGTCCATGACCACCTGAATTTCGTTCATGGCCCCGCTACCCCGGTTCTAATTCTTGAGTCAGCTTGTGGCTGCCTGGCCACTCTCGAGGAGAGCCCCTTCTTCGCCACCCGCGGCTCCGGCAGCTCCCGCGCGGACCTTTCTCATTGGCCGAATAAAACGAAGGCTCGGAGGTTCCCTCGTGATTCGAAGCTGAAACGGGACAAATGATGGTTTGATGCCAACATCTTGTAGCTTGTTGGTTGTTTTTGGGTGCCAAAAAGAAGTTGTGCTGACGGTTTGAAGCTGATATCCCAGCATGCGCTGCTTCTCTTGGTCATCGGAGGTGTGGCTCGGAAAGGATTGTTTTCAGCGAATCCCACAAAACACGACACATGTTGAGGGTCGCTTTCAGGGACACCCGCAGAGTGTCAACCATTTTGGGCTTTTTGTGGGGGGGAAGCTCAAAGTACAACCGTAGGGTTTGGGAGAATGTTTGGGGTGTCAGAACGAGTTGGACCCTTTTGGCATATGTTTAGAGGCAACCCAAGATGATTGACTCATTTGGAGCCCCCTACAGTTCGGGCCCAATTCCCATTTTAGCTGAACCACCGCTTACGCATTGCTACGGATGCTCTGAAGATTGCAAGTAGGACAACAACCCCAGGACATCTTTTTTTTCCCCTGGCAAACTGCCAGGCAATACTACAAAGGCAGCCGCAATCTGGTTCTGAGGACCCTGCCAACCTTGCAAGTGCTCTCAAGGTTGAGATGGCCGGGGACCCCTCTCGAATTCAGAGCCGAGCCATGGAAGGCTCTGGTTCCTCAGCCCGCGGCCACCTTTGGTCACTCAGGACTCCCATTATGGATTTTGATCAGCGTATGAAACCAATTGAGTTTAGAATTGATGAGGCTTCTGTTTAGGTGACCATGAGAACATGGCCCACACAAGGTCGGAGCTTTTGACCATGTCTTACTTTTCATGCTGGGAACCTAGGAGTAACGCCGCGGATGTTGACAGGGGTATCCGCTTTTAGAGGGAATCGCCACAAACCTCGGAGACTAAACCCTTTCAGAGAAAATCATAGAGATTAAGGACACCAGCCCCAAGAACACTCCTTAAACGCAGGAAACCAAACCCTTTGAGAGACAAACATGGAGATCAAGGACACCAACCCCAAGAAAACTCATGACTCCTTGGCGTGTTGTCCCTTTGGGACGCCAAAAAAACGGGGCTTCCCCGCATGGGGCAGCACACGTTTTCTTGAGGAACCACCACCAAGCGTCGAGCAGTTCTTCCGAGGTCCCCAGAGCGCGCGGCCCGGGACGCCCGCGAGGCGCGGGGTTTTGGGGGATTTTGGAGGATTCCCTAAACTTGGTGGCCCGCAGCCGTCCCCTTAGCTTTTTAGGCTTTTAGGGTTTAGTGGTAGTTGCCATGTAACCCACCAAAAGTTAAACTTTTAGCAGAGGATCTGAGGACAGCCCAGTAAAGGAAGCCACAGGGGCATGGGCCTCGAACTGGAGAATCCCTGGTTTCATTCAAGATCCCAAATCGCTTCCCAAGCCCGAAGGACATGCCCGACTGACAGGAACTAAGAAAAAAGGGACGGGGGTAGGCCAGTTTGCTCCGAAACTGGCCAAAACGGGGATCGGGGGGTACTCCTGAGAATAGTCAAGCAGGCCCATGTTTCCTTTGCTAGTCTTGTTGAAAAAGCAAGAAATCTAAGGCTATTAGAACCCTCGCCCAAACCCAAACGAATCAGTCACGAACGTCCCAAGACTCAAGATGCGGTCCTCACGAGGTTGAGCTCCCAGCCTTTTTCGGCGCGCCCTGCCCACGACCGCACGCGGCAGGAGAGGCGGAACGTGCGAAAGGCTTCTATACAAAAGGTTGTAGGTTGACGAAACGAACTGCGGTTACCCGACGATGCCCCTGAAAGGCGACACAAAATGACACAACTTTAGCGTCGGGATGGATCAAACGCAGGTCATGTGGGGACCTCTGGGTTTAGAGGGCGACCAAGAGGAAACCTAGGCACTTTGGAATTTCCAGTCGGAAAGCGACTTTGCGACTTCACAAACTGGCTCTCACTTGCAGCCAAGGTTCCTTCGTATTAGAGCTTGGCCAACCATTAAATATGAGCATTGTTGTTCCACCCAGAAGGATGAAGCCAAAGAAGGCTAGTGACTCTGCAGTCTTTTCTGGAGGCATTCTTTCTCCTTTCCTGCAGATCTTTTTCCCGCCCCAAAGCCTGCTTTCGCGTCTTGAGAGGAGGTTTTCAGTGCGAGCAGCACTCCAAGAAGGCCTGGGGTTGGGAGCATTTGAAAGAGGTCCAGGCCAAGTTTCAGGGCATGGAGCAGTTTGGCCCACATCGACCAACAGGGACACCAAAAGGGAATTGTTTAAACAGTTTGGGTGGGTTGAACATGTTGAAAGGGCGGCAGTCCGCCCAACCCTAGCTGGAACCTTTGGGCCTCGAAGCCCGCAACCCAAGGCTTCTCACCAGTTCTTCATGTGGATTTTGGGCTGTTGGTTTGTTTCCTGGTTCATGGTTGTTGTGCGCTTTTTTTTTGTGTGTTCTTTCTGTGCAAATTATGAGTTGGGCGCTGCACAGAACAAGCTTTTGCTAGCAACCCACCAGGGCCTGGCCTACTCTTTTTTCCTCAACGGGACACCGGTGGGCGAGAAAGGATTTCTTGGGAAGGCTTAGGGAACTTTCAGGCGTTCCTTGAATCCATCCCCCCTCCCCTCCCCCAACCCCCGCCAGGAGGGGCGGGGGCTGGATCCTGTGATATGTGGTGTTGGTTGGTATAGTGTATATACAGATAATATCTATACATATATATGTCATATGAGTCATACATGTATACATATCATTTGGGGTTGTCTTAACATGGCCCCTTCCCCCCAAATAGGCGATTTCCCTTTGGCCCTTTCAGGTAACCCCCCCTAAAAGGATCCATCCAGATACTTGCTGCGAGCGTCACGTGTCGGCTCGAGCGCAGGCAGATCTACGCCACAGCCATCCCCGGCTACTGCGGGCACATGCCCACCAAGGACATCGAGGCGTGAGCCTTCTGGGAGTCAAACGAGAGCTGCCACTTGGAACAATGACCAGTCAACCCTTGAAGTGCGATCAATAGCAACCAACATGCTAATTACACACACAAATCCAGTGAAGGCTGGCTTACAAATCCAGTGAAGGCTGGCTTTCCAGACTACCTTCGATTTCGCCCCTAGAAAGCTTCCCGTGATTAGGGTTCCCAATCATTTCGCCAGCAGTATCTCCAAAGTACACTGCGAGCTCAGGGCTTCCACTGTGGGGGGAAATCAACAACCCTGGGTTGAAGTCTGCCTTAGGGGGGGGAATCAAACACTGGACCCCACTTTCTTACGAGAACCATCGGGTGTCCATTTGCCCCCACACCCCCCCCCCCCCCCGCCCCCCAGCCGCCCAAGCCGCGCAGCTCTGCGGGGGCACCTTCACCATGGAGTCCATGGCGGCGGCGGCCATACGCAGTAGGCGGGGCTGGTTGGAATCTCCGAGCCTTGATATAGGTGAAGCCTTCGTTAGGATGAAAATGGCCATGGGTCAACACCAATGGTACGGTGCACCACCCATTTTAGTCTATTCTAGTTGGGATTGGGATGTTCACTGGGGGTACGGGGTTTTGACCCATAGCCATATATATATATATATATATGTATACATATATACATGTAAAAAGGTCAAACTTCTGCTTGGTTTATTTGGGTAATCCAAATGGAAGGGTTGAAGGGGGGGGCGGGCAGCTGGGATTCTATGGGGTTACACACAGACCGCAGTTGGCAGGTTGACCCCCTTCAAAAGGTACCACAGGCGGCCAAGCTCCGAGGACGGGGCTGAAACGAAGCGGAAGAGGAAGTTTTAGGTGATCAATCAAAACCGGCAGCCAAGGAGGCAACCTCAATGAAACATGGCTGTGGGTCAAAACCAATGGGATCCCATTTTGGAGTAGGTGCACCACCCATTTTAGTCTATGTTAGTGGGGAACATGTTCACTGGAGGTACGGGCTTCTGACCCATGCCCACATGACCAGATTTGTTCCTGCCCTTTGCGCTTTTTGTTCCTTTCGAGTCGGCGATGCGCTTTTTCTTTGGAGCTTCCCTGAATTTGATCACAGGATCGAACCTTTCTGGGCCCGAATTTGCCTCAAGCGCGTTCCTGCATGGTTGCGAAAAGAAAACGTGTTTTTGGGACCACTCGCTCAAGAGACACACTTCGCAGACCAGGGTTCTCTCCCAGAACAGTCACGGGACGCATCACCGCAGGCGACTTCTCGCAAAGAAGACCGACGGTCTGGAAGACTGCCACGGGCCAAGTGGGGTCGGCCAAAATGGGGGTGGGCTTTCTTTTTGGAACTGTGACCTCTTGAAAGCGGAAAATGCAAGTGAAAAGGAGCGCCTGTCTTTGGCACCTTTTGCGCCCCCTTTTCCTTTAGGTATATGAAGAGGTCCCAATTTGTGACAGTTCCCTTTGCTTTGAACCATTCCCAATGGTGGAACCCCGAAGTTTTTTGGGGAAGAATCCTTTACATGGCTGTGGACGTTTGGGTTTAAACCAAGTGACATCGTGATATCACTTTGCTATCACTGGCAGGGACAACCATTTCCATAACCACGAATTGACCATATCCTTCACAGTCAAGGCCCCCAATCAAGCTTTCTGCAAATTAACACGGAGCCCAACAAGGGGGGGCAAGAGGAGATTCTGACCATGGGCTGTTTGGATCCCATGTATGTAAGCCTGCAAACCAGTCACTGACATGTCCCGGTCACGACTTTTTGTCCATATGGGCTCCCTGGGTTGAATGGACAACATGCCAAACGTGAAAAATACGGGAGAGAACCACCTAAGGCCAAGGAAATCATTCTTCGTTGGTTGGGTGTTCCTGTACTCCCCGAAATGGAGAGTTTCGATGTGAGGTTCCTTCGAGTTTCCAGCAGATGGTTTCCGGGATACGGCCCCATCGAGCTTAGGCCGCACGCATGCACCCCGCTTCGCCGAGCAACTGGGTTTGCACTGCACCAGCCAGCTCAGGCCAGCTTTCGCGTCGTGGGGGAGGGGGGAGAAAAAGACTAAAGAGAAGCCAAATTCCCAAACAAACCATCATCATTTTCCGGCACTCTCTAGCCGTGCGTCACCGGCCACATGTCGCCCCTGCGTTTTTGTGCCGACACACTTCACTCTGAGGCCAAGTGGAGAACATCATTCAGGGGAACTCTTCATTTGACCGCATCATCGTGTACAACATGTCAGACTTTACCTTCACCAGCTCTTTTTCATGCTGCATGTAAAACACGCAGCTTGGGCTCCCCCACTGTGAGAATTGTGTCCACCAAATACAAGCCTCATTTTGCTTGATGGTTCCCAGCCATCCCCTTGCGACTTTTAGCAGCTCTCAGGACAGCCCAGTTTTGTCCAGATCTGTGCCCCTTGTTTTCTCTGGATGGGGTTCCCGCTAAAATTGGCCCATATCGAGACGGGTCCAGCGGTCCAGCGCCTCGGGGGGGTGTTGTGTGAGTCAGGAGCTACCAGCCCTGGGCGCGGCAAGCCGCCGGCGTTTCGCGCAGCATGGATCGTCGCCAGGTCAAATGAGGGAGGGAGGGAGAGGATAGGAGAGGGAGGGAGGGAGAGAGGGAGGGGAGAGAGAGAGAGTAGCAACAAGGAGGGAGAAGAATATTTTTTCTTCAAAGCTCCTTAGCCTAGGCTTCCGCGCGGTGCGGCCCTGAGGCGATTTGAAGGGCCCCCGCCAGGCCGGCCCAGCCTTAACTCGGCGATTTCAAAGCCCAGAAGCTCTGGGTCGGCAAAAGCTCAGGGGCGGTTGAATTGGCGGCTCTCTGGTTTCGAAGAAAATATGGGTTTGTTTTCAGGGAGCAAAGCGGTGGAGGGCTGTTTTACTAGACACCAACAAGCAGAAGAGTACACTGGAGGTGGTTTCCAAATGGAAGCCGTGGAACCTTATGTTTGCAACGTGTTGTCCTTTTTCCCCAACTAGAAAAGCATGTTTTCCCCGTGTTTTGTTTTTTTGGTAGGGGGAGTGGGGGGGTGGGGGGGTGGGGTTCTCAGGTTCTCAATAGGCACTGTCCAGCAAATCGTGTGACAGTTGCCGAAATCCATCAGTCCCAGTCTTGCACGTGCGAGTGTTTCCCCCGAACCGTGGGGTGCATGGAGCGGAAGTGGCGGGCTTGCCGAAGGCATGCCGCCGCACGACGCGCGATCTCGAAATTTTATCAAGGCGTTTGAAGATGTCACCCTACCCTTGAGTGACTCACTGGCCGCAACACATGCCGCGTGATCCTGGTACTTTTGGACTTGTGAGGCTCAGCCATAGGGGATTCCAATATTATCCTTGAAAGTGTAGCCCAGCTGTGGGGGATAGTGAAGGGGGACCAGAACCTGCGTAGAACCCGCGTAGAGGCACTCTGTTCGGGGACATTTCGGGGGACGCAGCTTAGCCCGGCCAAGTTCAGGCCTTGGGCCGTAGATGGCAGTGGCTTCAGTTGCGAGGTAATGGCACCTTAGCAGCCTTTGCCACAATCAAAACCTGGCTTTCGAGTACACAAGTCTGATACCAAGAGTTGATGGTGACTCACCTAGGGTCGGTCCACTTCGAACGAATCCTGAAGCCCTGAGTAAAAAACCCGAGGTACTTACCATGGGGCAATTGGGCAAACCATTTTTCAACTGCCTTGTAAAAGCGAGAACGACACAAGCAACAGGTATTTGAAGTAGGGTGCCTACCTGGAGTCTCCATGACCCTTAAAAAATGGGGTCATTACCCAAAATTAAGGGGTCATGGACCCATTGTTTAAGGGTCACGGAGACTAGGTATGCAATTATCAGTCCCCTTCGGCAAAGAAAAGCGGCGGGGAGTTGGGTCATGGTCGATCAGGCCCACTGCCAAGCTCGGACCATCAAGGTTCCGGAAATCCCAGACCTCCAGCGGTGCTCTTGGCGGCTTCCTTTTAATTCAGGTTGAGCCACCAACACAGTGGTGCTCTTTTGCATTTTTTTGCGATGAATATCAACCACACACACACACAAAAGATGCGCTTTTTCCGTCTGGAAATCCACTGGAGGTCTGGGCAATTGTCCAATTTCACTTTTTCTGGCCGGAGAGGCGAGAAAGTTGCGGCTAGCTGCCGAAACAGGGTTGCTCCGAACCTCAACACGATGACTAAGCCACAGTTGGGTAGAAAGCTGGCAGTATAGTATTGGCACATTTGCGTGTATACGATGAATTGAACTTGTTTTTATACTGGGCGTAGCAAACCCCTGAGGATGTTCAATCATTCATGGCGGACTTGCCCCCAAGGTGACGAATGGACACCCAGCATCAGCCTGAAGTTAGGACAATGAGGGCTCAGAATCGCTCTCAGGTTTGCGACCTCACCCGGGATGAAGACCCCGTTTTGGGTCCTTATTTGAGGTTGAATCATTATGAGTTGCCAATATTGTATGCGCCCATGAACCAAAGGGCACCCATTTTGGGCTGGGTGGCTGGCTAATCACGAGCCCCCACTTTGCGGTTGGTTAGCTCCAAGAGACTCGGGGTGAACCAGACCAGAGCTTCATGTATCTGCACATATGCAAACAACCTTCGATGAGACCAAGTTGGATGCTGACCATCAATCGAGAGACCGCCCCCCCCAAAAAAAACAACAACAATGGGTTGTATAGGACTCCTTTGAGGAGGCCTCTCAATATGGAGGCACGGGGGCTCCAGGGAATGCTCAAATTGCTCTTTTGCCTCCTGGTCAGTGGGGTATTGTTCTTCGTCCTTGCAGCGTCAAACAACTCATGCATATTCGGCCGATCCACTCATTGTTTGTGATTTCTGGATGTCTTCCATGGATTTGGGGGGGGAATGGATCTCAACCGGTGGCGCACCCCCTGTGTAAAAGGTTTTGGCAGCGCCCACAAGCTCCAACAACGGGTTAATCAGTTGATGTTTGAGCTATGTAGGCATGTTAAACTTATGTCTTTGTTGGGTCATAAACATCCAGTTGCAAGCGTTGGGCTCTTGGCCCCTTTCTTCCCTGTTTGAGTTGTTTGATCATCAAACTTTAACTGTGCTTGAGATTGTTTTTCGGAGATTTGGCTGCTTTTTGAGTATGCCAACAAGATTGGCACTGATTTCACACAGGAAACCTGCCAAAACCAAGCAACAGGGCGCCAAGCTGCTGGTTGAAGGGACAGCCACCCCCCACGAAAAAGAAGACATACCAACAAATACAGAAAAGCATACAACATGAGAAGGCGTGCTAAACACAGCAACACCTTTTTCAAGGGACAAAGGGACAAACGCAACTGGCCAATTGCCAGCCCTAAGACCGCAGGTCCTTGGGTTGGGGTCGCGCTCCGCGAGGCTCTGCGCTGCTGGAGGGTCGGCGTTTGCATGCCGGGCGCCGCACTTCTGTGCTGGAGGGGAGGGGAGGGTTGGGTTGGTTTTTGAGGTGAAGGGTGCTGCTTGGGGTCGGTTTGAGAGGGAACCTGCAAAAGGCAAGCCGCAAATTGTTGGGCCCCCCAAATACAATATATATATATATATATATCTGTATATTGACACATTCCAACGATGTGAAGACGCAAAGTTGACCCGAGAAACAGTCAAGAGCTGGTTGGTTGATTGGGGGCGTAGCGTAGGGACTCTATGACTTTTCGGGGAAGCAACCCCGGCATTTTCTGATCTCAGGTTGATTAGTCCGGGGCAAGGCCCCTTGAAGGGGGGTATGTCCCCTACCTGCGTGACCGTTCACATGGCATGTTCTTTGCCGAGCATGCCGGTCATCCTGGCTGACCCTCTGAGCCTGTCCTTGCCTGACTGGGATATGGCGCACACCGGTGTGCGCGCGAATGTCTTCACCTTGGCCTCGTGGACTTCTGCTGCAGCGGACGAATCGGGTGCTCACGGGCTGAGTGGGCCTAACATTTGCGTGCGGGAACGCCATCGGCTGGGCAAGCCTGCCCAAGCAACACCTGCTGCAGCCTCTTTTGGTCGGGAAACGAGAAGGGTTTTCCAAAAGGAGATGCCTCTGAGAATGGATAGGTGTTTGGTCCGTCTGAGGAGTTCCCTTCCCAACGGAAGGCGCTTGTGGGAGGGCACCTGGAAGTAGCCTTCATGTGTGGGATGGATGGGAGAAGAACCAGGACACCACCGAGACATCGGCCCAACTTCGGGCTCAAGGGCTCGGGCTTAGTGAGACGATGTCTACCGAGGGTAGTCGGCCTGCGTAACTTGTAGCGGATGAAATTCGGGGAACTGAAAGGAGTGGGGTCGAAAATGCAAGCATGTTCAATCTACCCAAAAGGGATACCGAAAGGGGATGGGATGGGTCATTGTACTTTTGCAAAAGGGGATGGGATGGAAACGAAAAGGAGATGGGTTTGCGATTGAGCCCACCCAGACCCTTTCCAGTCCAAAGGGGTTCAGAGGTCTATGCCGGCGCCGGCCTGGTCCCTGGCTCTGATCCCTCGGAAGAGTACGAGGAAATCAGTGCGAGGCTCAGATTCTCACCTTGCCACTGGGTTTGGTTTGGTGGTTTGGACCTTTCGGGGGGGTACCTTCCCCATCTGGCCGCAACTGGTTCCAAATCCCAAACCAACAACACCACCAATTTTGGGTTCCCTGAGATTCCATCTCGAGGGCTGAAGTTCAGAATGTTCTGTGAGTGGCATGAGTGGCCAAGCTCAGTGATAAGATGTTCGTGGGAACACATATGGCTGTGGGTCAAAAATAGGTACCCAAAATGGAACCCTGGTAAATGGAAACATGGACTAAATCTGCGGTGCCCTGGTGGTTGAATACTGACCCACACCCATATTGGGATCACAAAAAAGATTTTCGGCAAGTGTCAATATCCTTGAGGGAAAGTGGTCCAATGAAGTAACACCTGCGGTTGAAAGGCAGCCCTTCGCCGATTTGGCCTCAACAAATTGGATTCCGCCCATTGATGGCAGTTCCCGTTGAATCCATTCGCAACCAGTGGACAGCTTCGAATCCCTGAAATTGAAAGCGACTGGTTTAACAGTACACACCAGGAATCCTACAGACCCTCTTAAGCCACAAGGCGTGCAGCGCTTCAGAAGTGCCAACGAAGGCCAACCATGGCGGGCTTTGGGGCATAGGGGGGGGGCCTATGGACAACCTTGGTGCAACGATGGCAGATTCGGGGATGACCCCCTGTTCCACAAAAGGCCGTTCTCCACAATGCACGGAAAGACCAAGTGCCTAAGCCATGGGTTAAGACGTGCTAAGACCCAATTTCCAGTGTTTGATTCTGACCGTCTTTTCAACCATCGTTCTCAGAACCAAGCCATTTTCCTTCATCTTTTGTTTTCTGGAAAGAAATGGAGCCTCCGCAGAAGCATCCATTCGGACAGTCACAATAACGAAGTATAAGGGGGGGAAATAGCCTCACCCAAGGTCCTCTGCTGTAAAGTTCCCTTGTCCAGTTTGAGAATTCTAGTACGTTGCCCAGTTGGAATGATCAACCCATTGAGGTTATCAACATGGTAATACTTGTCTACCAATCCCTTCCATGTACAACCATGTTAACGACGTGAGTTGGTCCTGTGCCCCGGTCAAAAGACCACTTTGCTTTGGCATGGAAGCTTCCATTGTTGGCCGGCAACCCTTTCGTTGGATTTTCCGACCGCCACTGTCAGGGTTGGGTTCCCATTAAGGGATCCATAACCACGACCATTTTTTTTTAAGATATGGGTAAGTGCTTTTTGGGTTTAGCCTTTTTCTTGGTTGCTTCAAATCCAATTCAATTAGCACCACACTTTTTGGGTCACCCTATTTGTCCCGTTATTTAGAGGCAAAATGGGCGCCTCAAACGAAGCGCTTGGCAT